CTATTGAACAAAATGACATTACTAGTACACAAGTACATTCTTAAACATTATGTCTGAATCAAGAAATATCCATCATATACACCTGATTGGCCTAAAATTTGCCCACCGTGGGGTACATGTAACAAACATTAAAAAGCTAATAACTTTAAAACCCTTCCTTATTTAATCAAAATGCCAAGTTTAGTACATGCAGACTCATACAGATCACATCTTTTCAAAAATTCAAAGTAATTCTATGCTTAGTTTTTAAGAAAATTTGCCCACAAGGTGTTAAAAGACATAAATTTACATCTTTGTGAGTATTGTGGGAGATGATAGCACGCAATTCATATACTTAGTTTTTTAATACAATACCAGTTACCTGGGAAACACAGTGAAGCAACAATTGGATCCAAATCTGTCCAAGGTAAAACACTAACTGACGATAACTACCAACTCCTAGCCGCCATCACCCGAAAAGAGCCTTTGACTAACAGGAAGTGACGTTTCAGGAGTTTTTAATATTGGCTTCCTGTGATGTTTCCCATCCATGTACGTATGATATCTATGGTTCTACCATGCGTCCAATCAGATTAGATGCATTTCTTGTAGCTAGGATACACAAAAAGTATAAAAATCCTTACCATTAGCAACCAATTCATTTTAAGCATAGATATTATACACGGAACAGGATTGGAAACAGGATCACGTGAGCGCATTATGTATTGAAACCAACCTAGTTTTCCGGGAACTGGTTAATTTGTAGTTATTAAGAGTAAAATTTGAATTCCGTAATGGAGATGAATGGAGATTGTTAAAAATACTTTGTGGGACTTTCTAGACAATACCCGGCGGTTTTATGACAAGGTATCTAGCTCTATGGCTACTTCTTAACATCCTACAGTGGACTAAGACGTTTGTTATGGTGCGCATCCGTTAGTTTGAGAGAAATGGCATCCTGGCTTAAGATCCCTTTGTTTTAGCACGCCATAACTTTTTGAAACATAGATATAAGCACTAATAGATGCCTTATTCCACTAAAGACCCTTGAGAGGTAGCTATAAAGGCTCCTACTAGCCTGCTTTGTCGTCCGATGTAGTTTCTAGAGTCCCACAAACTTTCTCCATTCATCTCCATACGGTCACCAGTTCCCGGCAAACATAGATACTATATATATCAAGTGGATACGAAACAGGAAGTGGATTGTACATGAAATTATATTGGTGACGTCACGAGCAGTATGCCTATGCTCTTTTCGCTCTAGCGTAGCCTCTAGCTATGCCTCTAGTGGCATTGTTTCTCGAAATTTTGGGTTCTTGGTCAAGTTACTACTTTGCTGAGTTGAAGTAAGTATTATGAAGTCTCTATTAGCTCGAATGACCTGCTGAATCCTTGTTTGCTTGATCACTGGATCTCGTTGTACTGTAAAACATGGCGGCCTATAGTTCTGACTTTAAACACCTGTTCTTTAATCTGGGGCAGAGTTAGTAAGTGTTATTTTGGTAGAAGAAGGATATTATTGTGTTACATGGTCTGTAACTACTAGCTTTCCACTGCAGTTTTATAAAATAGAAATATATCCATTTTTTAGTTTATTTACGGTCTGTTTTGTAAACGCCTTTTCTGGAAAACTATACTATTTGAAGAGGTACAATTTTGTATGAGTCTACGTACATGCCTTTTGTACGGTTTGTATATTTTCATAAATATTTTAAAGCTATGTTTCTTCAAAAAAAGTTACTTAATGTCATTGTGATATACCATATTAGAATGATAAAACTATTATTATAATATTATTTTTTTGATCATCAAATAGGGTATGAATATGAAACCAATGAAGCTAAATTGTCTGTTGTTTCTTGTACTGACTCTTTTCAGAAGAAATATAGATTTTTATGAAGTTTTTGATAATTATTGATTTTGCCACCATTTTGGTTGCTAAGCGTATCTAGGAAAAACGTCACATCCGGCGAAAAGAGCTTAGGCACATCCTGTTTCATATCCACTTGGTATATATAGTATCTATGCGGCAAACTACCGTAAACGTAAAAATTTTCGTGGTGTAAATTTTCGTGTTTTTTGCAATTTTTTCATAAAAATTAATTTTCGTGAATTAAAAATTTCGTGGTAGGCGTTACCCAATCTTATTAATTTATTGACCACGTGGCAACATGGCGACACCTGCAGAGATGCCTACCTCATGTGTACCTTCACTATTTTTTCAGTTATCAGGGGTTACCATGTATATAAGGAGATCTGGGAAGCAGAGATGCTGAAGTGTGAAAGAGAGACGAGTAATATTCATGGTCAGTACGTGTGGCTGTCACGTGGCCTATTGAATTAACCACCACACCCTTGCATTAAAATTTC